CTGACCAATCAGAGGAGCTCCAAACTGACCAATCAGAGGAGCTCCAATTTGACCAATCAGAGAATTTCTGACCAATCAGAGAATTTCCAAACTGACCAATCAGAGGAGCACCAAACTGACTAATCAGAGAATCTCCAAACTGACCAATCAGAGGAGCTCCAATCTGACCAATCAGAGGAGCACCAAACTGACCAATCAGAGGAGCTCCAAACTGACCAATCAGAGGAGCTCCAAACTGACCAATCAGAGAAGCACCAAACTGACCAATCAGAGGAGCTCCAATCGGACCAATCACAGAATCTACAAACTGACCAATCAGAGGAGCACCAAACTGACCAATCAGAGGAGCTCCAAACTGACCAATCAGAGGAGCTCCAAACTGACCAATCAGAGGAGCTCCAAACTGACCAATCAGAGGAGCTCCAAACTGACCAACCAGAGGAGCTCCAAACTGACCAATCACAGAATCTACAAACTGACCAATCAGAGGAGCTCCAAACTGACCAATCACAGAATCTACAAACTGACCAATCAGAGGAGCTCCAAACTGACCAATCAGAGGAGCTCCAAACTGACCAATCAGAGGAGCTCCAAACTGACCAACCAGAGAAGCTCCAATCGGACCAATCAGAGAATCTACAAACTGACCAATCAGAGAATCTCCAATCTGACCAATCAGAGAAGCACCAATCTGACCAATCAGAGGAGCTCCAAACTGACCAATCAGAGAATTTCTGACCAATCAGAGAATCTCCAAACTGACCAATCAGAGGAGCACCAAACTGACCAATCAGAGAATTTCCAAACTGACCAACCAGAGAATCCCAAAACTGGCCAATTATAGAAGCTCTAAACGGCCCAATCAGAGAAGGCCCTCAGTCAGCATCCTCAGCCAGACTAGCGAGGCCAGTTAATGTTTGCAGACCCACACTGAGTGCTCAGAGCTGCTGTAGTAGAGCCGCTCACTGCTGGATTACTGACGCTCACCTGACAGAATGCTGGATTTCTGACGCTCACCTGACAGGATGCTGGATTTCTGATAGCTGCTCTAACTCAACACTGGGTCAGATAAGGACAAACCCCACCACTGGGTTAAAAAGTGTAGTTCATTTGAAATAGATTGGGTTTGCCCTTATCTGACCCAGTGACCCAGCACAGTGAGAGTGTGTGTGTGTGTGTGTGTGTGTGTGTGTGTGTGTGTGTGTGTGTGTGTGTGTGTGTGTGTGTGTGTGTGTGTGTGTGTGTGTGTGTGTGTGTTCATCAGTGCTGGCCAGTGTTCTCTACAGTCTGAGGATGAGCTGAGCACTACAGCAGCTGTATGAACACACTCCAGCGACCCGCAGCACCTGATGCAGATGAGTTTGATTGGAGCAGGTACAAAACATTAGCACCAATAGGAGACGAGCCCTCGCCGCTGGTCACCATGGCAACGACCTACGCCACCCTCACTGGACAAACATGGAGAAACACATTAACCAACGGAGGAAACCAGGGGTCATCTCCAGCAGGCAG